ATGACTATTTACACGAATCTGGATGCCATTTACGTTTAGACGCAGGAGAAAACTGCTTCGGGCAGCCAGATCTGGGGGGGTCGCAAGAGACCAACAACTTCTGAACTCTATTCTCAACCCCACAGGCGAAAAGAGTGGAGTTTGTGAGATTCTGTGCTTCATTGTGTTAAAATAACATGTCAAATTTTTACTGTGCAGAGAGACACGCCTGATCAGCCTCAGGTGGCATTTACGTTTAGACGCAGGAGAAAACTGCTTCGGGCAGCCAGATCTGGGGGGGTCGCAAGAGACCAACAACTTCTGAACTCTATTCTCAACCCCACAGGCGAAAAGAGTGGAGTTTGTGAGATTCTGTGCTTCATTGTGTTAAAATAACATGTCAAATTTTTACTGTGCAGAGAGACACGCCTGATCAGCCTCAGGTGGCCAAATACATCTGTGCCTCATGTGTTAAAATAACATGTCAGATTTTTCTGTGCGGAGAGACACGCCTGATCAGCCTCAGGTGGCCAAATACATAGGGTTGGCCCTCCTAGTATTCTGGTTACAAAAATAAATTAAATATCTATTAGGGGTTTTTATTCCCCCCCCCTCTCCAGATGTCAGAGAGAAAGGAAGCGGTTATGTGGGAACAGATGCACAATATTGTTTTCCCGACAGGAAAGCTTCCTTTAAAAAAGATGTCTAAGTGCGCTCCTATGGAGTCCCATAAGTGAGATCCTCCGACCACGTTGTTTCTATCAAAAGCACTCTGCCCATGCTTAAAGGTAGTGCTGTCATGGCTATCTTGCAGCCTCCCTGATTCTAAAGGAAACACTGAAAACAAGCAAAATGCACCCAAAAAGTGCCAAGGTCGATCACCTTTAACCCCCGTGCTCAGTTTGAATAACTTGTAATAAACGAATCAGCCACGAAGGGGCAGCAAAGCCACGGCAGTCAATCAAGCCTAAATACGTAGGTGTGGTAGGCAGAGAAATCTTGAAGGCCAAGAAATTGCAGGGGTATAATTTTCCTGGCCTTTCATCGTTCCAAGAGGGCTGAAGGATCAAGAGTTGTTCCATTAGATTGTGCGGGTTTTTATTTTATTTTATTTTATTTGCTATTTTAGTTGCAGAGAAGCCACGAAAGTGGTCGCTTTTTGTGATATCGGATTCACAACCGATGCGGGGCAGCCGGAACTGTCCCCTAGGCATCAGAAGGCCCCCCCAATCAAGTTGCCCAGTCTGGTTCAGGGGATGGAGTGGGAGACCTGAGTTCGAATCCCCAAGAACCTCAGAGAAGCTGGAACTGGTCGAACCACTCCTCAATTACTCACTTACCTTGAAAGCCCTATAAAGGTTGGTCTAAGTAGGTTCCTATTTCAAGAGGGAAGACCACAACGAGGTCAACTCCGAGCCTGCCCGGCCAGCTGCCCTGGTTGACCCTCACGTGTGAATGGGTGATTTAGAAGTCCATCATTTGAAAGGGGTTTCTTGAACCAACTTTTCCCTCTTTTTATGACAGTCCTTTTCGAGGGTGGTTCTTCCAGCTTTGGTAAAGCTCGGCGGGTTAGAGCACCCCGAAGGCTCTGAGTTCAAATCCCAGCTGCAATGCCTCGGAGAAGGGCCGACTGAGGCCTCACACCCCTCAGGGTTGAGTGTCACGGACGGGTCTGTGCGTCCAGGTCCTGGCGTGGCGATGGGCAAGCTGCCCGGTGGCCCCAGAGGGCCACCAGAAGAAGCCACCAGTGGCCTTCATCTGGAAACCACCTGACACATAATTCTGATTATTCTTTTTGCCTTTAGACTTGGCCGTGCAGGCCTTCAAACAGAGGGCACTTTTAAAATAAGATTAAAAAAAAATAAAAGCGGGCACTGAAAGTTCAACCGTCCACTCGACGTAAGAAGTTCCAAGGAGGAAAAGGGCATATTTTTCCGAAAGGCCTGGCATTTACTCCCAAGCAGGACGTGTGGGCTTTGTTGCCACGGCGACAGCCCCCTATCCTGTGGAAAGCCAGGCCCTGGCACGGTGCCCACAGAGCCGTCCAGCGATTTTGGACACCAGCCTTCTCGAAATATGCATTTTTTTTTTAAAAAGTCCCTTATCACCATGCCAAAAGCTTTTCCCTTTTTAAAAATTTATTTTGGAAAACGATGCCTTCCGAATAGCTGAGCGCTAACGACATTGAGCATCGCCCCCTTTTTTAAGGACACGGCAGGACGTATAAGCCTTCTTCTCTCTCCGGTTCCCAAATACAAAGGTTGTTTTCCAATAAAGCTGGAATGATGATTGTGGCAGATGGCTCTCTCTCTCATGCCGAGTTCGAGCTGGCAGGGAAAAACACGGGTCTAGCACACGGCGTTATATCCCAAAAGTAACTTTCCCTCACTTAGACAGGTCTATAGATCTCTCTCTCTCTCTCTCTCTCTCTCTGTGTGTGTCTGTTGTGTATACAAAGGAACACATGATTTTTTTAAAAAAAATAAGCCTAGTCAGTTCTGGACCAGAATTGAGGGTATTGTTGGCTTGATAGCTCAGTGCTTTAAGTCTCTGGTTGCAGAGCCAGAGGTTGGGAGTTCGAATCCCCCGCTGTACCTCCTGCCAGCCTCTGTAGCCCTGGGCAAGTTGCGCAGCCTGAGGGTGCCCCCTGCAGGATGGGAAGGGGAAACCACTTCCGAGTGTTCCCTATCTGGAAAACTAAAAAGGATCGCCACAGGTCATAACTGAGTTGATGGCACATCATCACCACCATCATCATCCTGTTAGCTCACCTGCCACAAAGCCAGGACGTGGGACGCTCAAGGTGAGGTCTGGTGTCAGAGTCTTGCGTCTTCACTTTGGTTGGTTAACAGAGTGCAGGAATAAGCCCCCCATTGGGCTGATCTCTCTGACATCATGCTGTTCTGACCAATCAGAGTGGCAGGGAGTCTCCCATTGACTCTAACTCCACCCCCCTGTCTTTGGCTCCATTTCACATTGTCCTGGCCTGTGGCCCCACGTGGTTTTTCATCTAAAATATTCAAGGAACGGCTTTACCTATTCCCCATTACCCTGGGTTTACAAGGCTGAGCAGGGATTCGAACCCAGGTTTCCCGCTGTGGGTTTACAAGGCTGAGTACGGATTCGAACCCAGGTCTCCTGAGCCCTAGTCCCTCTCTCTACTTCTAGGTCACACTGTGGCTGGTAAGGAGGATGCGCACAAAACTGTCGTGTGGCGTGTTTGGTCATTCAGGTGACCTGCCAGACTGTACGTGGCAGAAAAGTGTACCAAAAAGTGCCTTAAAAGCAGAAATCCGGAAAGTGAGAAACCATCAGGCCTCAAAAATAATCTTACGCCTTAAGATCACCGTTATCCTATTTACAAACTGGAGCAAAGCCTTCATTTCTCTTTTCCCTCCCTCTCTCTTTTTTAAAAAAAATGCCTTTAAGCAATTTTGCAGTCTTGGGTCAGCCGGGAAAAAATATATAGATATTTCAACGTGGCATGGAGCGGGATGAGGAAATGACCCCGATTTTTCTTGGCCGGTGCTTGAGGGTTGGCACTGGCGGCTTATGAGATCTGATCTTCCGCTCGCTGACACACCAGGGGAATCGGAGAAGCCCTGATGAACCCTGTTAAGAAACCACCGCCGCTCCCCATCAGCGGCAAGGACGAGAAAACTGGCTTGCAACAGAAACGAGAGAGAAGACGACGAGATCTTTCGAAGAGGAGATCAACACCAATCAACTAACCTGAATATCGAAACCCACCACACACTGGAGATCATAAGAGTTCTTTGGCATTTTATTAGAATTTCAGGAGTTGGATCAAGTACTGGATGGTTACAGGGGGCCCCTCCCCACAACCTGGGAAAGTTTGGAAAAGTTATTTTTTGGTACCATAGCGTCCTGAATCCCACACCCAATCTGGCTGGGAGCAGCAATCCAGAAATTCATTTTTCCAAGCTCAGTTTTCTGGTCTTTGTTCTTCAGAGTTCACTTCCATCCTTCAGATCTCTAGAAGTTACAACACGGCCTTCATATCTGTGTGGGATTGGTTTCAAGCCCCCCCCCCCGCAGATACGGACAACTGCATATAATAGTGAACTGTATACAGAGCATGCTTTCTGGCTCCCTCTAGTGGCCAGTTCTTGTAATTACACCACGGAAATACACATTTCTGTTTTTCTTTCTTTCAATATTTTTAATATTTAACATTTTCAGACCACAGATAAGTGAAACTGTGGATACCAAATCCCGCAGATACAGGGGTCCTGTTGTAAATATCTCACGGGGCTGGGGGTTAAATAGATGTTCTTTAGCAATGTCTTACTTCTGAATGCAAGGATCTTCCTGCAGGTCCCCTCTTCAGATAGTATTTCATCTTATTTCCTTGACCCTCTTTAGTCAGGATTATATGTTAATTTAGTTCCTACTTCCTCTATCCCCAAAGCTAGCTTTGATGGCACCATTAGCTCATACTTCCCATATTTCTGGGGTTTTTTTTTCTTTAATATTTATTTAATATTTTTCAAGCAGCAGAAAAGTGACTCAGTGGATATTGATCCCACGGATATCATGATCTCATTGTAATATATGGAATCTGCGGAGTTCCAAAAGCTATGCACCACTGTACAAGTCAAGATAATCCATATTTTTTTAAAGAGGGGGAAGATATTTTTATATGATTGTGCAGTAAGAAATATCACAACATCTGTTCTGTCTCCAACAGCAAAGTCAAGCTTCCATGTTTTCAGCACGTTTAGGAAGGGGGGGGAAGATACTTTAAAAGCAATCTGCAGAATATTGATGCACATTTAACCAATCTTTTTTCAAAAAAGACAATACTGGTGCAAAGAATACCCAGGAATTCTGCTGAGAAAGGAAAAATGTAGAGAAAAATAAAGCAGAAAGGGGGGGGGATTTTGGGGAAACCCACCATGGAAAAAAAGACACCCCACCCACCCTAAACAATCATCTTATAGGATGAGAAAAAGGAAACGTTAAGAGTATAGATCTGTGTCCATTTACTCAAAAGTAATCCTCCTGAGTTCCAGGAGGCTTACTCTCAAGTAAGTGCATACATTGCAACTTTTCCCAACCTGACACTTCCCAAATGGGTTGGGAACCAGGTATGTACAAGCTGGAACGTCTAGGGTGACACAGCCTCCATTTCCTCCAGTTTTTTTCTCCCCCAAAGTCAGGAAGGAAGTCTACAAGGAGCTCTTGGAAAGATGATGTACCGTAATTAAGGAAAAACAAAGCTTCTTTTGCTCATTTACATTCCAAGCGGAGCTTCTGGGCCAGCCAGGAGCTTAAGAGTCGTCCTTTTCATTTGCAGTATTCTTTCCTAAAATCTGGAAGGAAGGAAGGAAGGAAGGAAAGTGTAACTAAGGTTGTAGATGTGATGGAATTTTGTCCCCTGATTCTCTCGATTCACTAAGCTCGGGGGAAGGAAGGAAGGAAGGAAGGAAGGAAGGAAGGAAGGAAGGAAAGTGTAACTAAGTTTGTAGATGTGATGGAATTTTGTCCCCTGATTCTCTCGATTCACTAAGCTCGGGGAACTTACAATTTTTTTAACTACAACTCCCAAACTCCTGCAGCCAAGGGGAAACGATTTTTCAAAGTTCAAGATCTATAGGCTGCGATTAATCTGAGCCCGTCAGCCACACCCTTGCCGTGAGATATGCCTACCCTCTGAATGTCTAAAGCAGGTCTCGTCATCATCATGCCTTTTCAGATTACGTATGACTACATCAACCATCATCCTGAGTCACACCTGACCATCCCCCAGCCATGGTCAACGGCAGCTGCGGGTGAAGAAGCTTCCCCCAAGGAGAAAGGGTGACAGGATGGGGAAGATGGATCTAAAAGACCATGGGGATGGGGGGGGGGAGGAGATCTGAGTTCAAATCCTCACAAAGCTATGAAACCCACCGGGCAGCCTTGGGCTACTCAGTCTCACTCCACCTGGCCTATAGGGTTGCTGTGAATATGAAAAGTTGTCATTTACACTGCTTGAGCTCACTACAGGAGACACGAGATATAAAAGTTAACTAACCGCTAACAACTAACCGCTAACAAGCTTTGTCGTAGTCAATCTTGTTAAACCAGTCCTGGTTCTTGAAAAACAATCTCTCCCCGGCTGCTGAGAATTCACAGTTTTATGTGTGCTTTTAATCCTTCAGAATCCATAGTCACTCCTATTGTTTCCTGCATACATTCTGATCAGATCTGGCGTGGCTCTGGAGTGACTCCGGATTCAGGAAGCATTCAATGAGGCATGTAATTCTGATCTCAAGATACACCCTTTTGGTCTTTCCCAGTGACTCAACAAGTTCCTGAAAACCTGTTGCAGCCCATAATAGTCGGATCTTGTAGTAGGCTGAAGGAAAACCTTGAATTGAACCCATTTTACAGCCCGGCTACTTTTTATTAAATGATTGAACCTTTTTCTCTCTATTTATGGCTGGCCCTGGCTAATAATAGGGTGACACCCCCTTTTGCCATTATGCACTGGGGGTCCTCCTTTCCTGCACGACACCTCCTCCTCCTCACCTTTGTCTAAATCGATGTTCTTCGCCGGGAGCACCTTGTTTTGCTCCGCCTTCTCCTTCAGAATATTGTTCTTGTAATCTGCAGCAGGGAGAAAAAATAGATCAATTTGAGGGCTGGCGACTCCAATTTCACAGAGGTGGGACTGCAACCGCTCCTGTTTTTTTGTCTGAACCTTAAAGGGGTCACCCAAGGGACTGAACCAGTTTTCTGCAACCTGGGTCTGGCCTGTAGCTTTTTTTCCCCGGGAGCTTCCTTTCTGGACAGGAAGTCAGGCAGAGCTAGGCCTAGCTAGGCCATAAGAATGTTCAGTCTAGGCCTTTCTCTCCCAGGCGAGCCACATTTAGGTTGTGCAAAGGGAACTCCCAGAATAGAGAATGATGGGATCTGTGGTTCCCCCCCAAAAAAACACCAATCTGAAAACCCCATGCCTAGCTCAGATCAAGATGACACGCTCCTCCGTTCCATGCACAGGAGCCCTGATGGATTCGGAGTTGAGGAAGGCACTGGGGGAAGTAATCTGGGGGGTCTCCAGATGTTTGACCATTGGCCGTGCTACCTGGGGCTGATGGGAGTCGTTGTCCAAAATGTGACGAGGGCGCAGCAGCGCACACACCCCTCCCTCCGAAACAGACTCCGCTTTAACAACTTACCCAGTTTGATATCTTCACTCTTGTAGTCCCGCAAATCTGTCGTATCCACAGGGAACTCTCTGAGATTCATGTCTTTCCTGGGGGGAAAAAACCCAGAAAGAAAATTCATCTGGGTTCTTTTTTAATTATAGAATAGCCGGATGCATTTTCAGCATTTGATATTTTGAACTTTCTGACTGTTACAATTCATTCATTCATTCATTCATTCATTCATTCATTCATTCATTCATTCATTCATTCATTCATTCATTCATTCATTCATTCATTCATCTTTTACACTCCTTACCTCTTCATGTTTTGTTCCATAGTACAAAATTGCATACATCTGTTGTCAGTACCTCTTGATACATTAATAAAAACATCCCTTTAAAAAAGATTTGTTGGTCCCTCTAGATACATTAATAAAAACTTCCCTTTAAAAATATTGTTATTCCTTAACAGCACTTCCTCCCTTTCTTCCAAGTTTTATTTATTTCATTTGGAAAAGTTACATTCCCACTTCTGCTAATGTAAAAGCGGAAGGCTGAAGAACCTACAGCAATAAATATTACGAAATAAACAGCATATTAAAATATTCCCCAGAGCGATTTCCCTCTATCTAGGCACTCGTGCAATGGGTGTAACCCCAGCTAACATTTATGGGATGGATCAGAGACTGAAAGGAGAAGCAGAGAAATGAATAGGTTATTTCTACTTAGACATTTCTAAGCACAAGGGCCGTTCTTACTTACCGATCAGCATTCTTCACGTTGTACTCAAAGCCTAGAAGGAAGAGAGCATTCAGAGGTTGCAAGCTTCAGCATCGAAGCTGATTTTTTGCAGATGTGAATAAGGGAGTCATAAAATACAGGCTTCCTAGTGTGCTTCTCCATGGACCACACTTGCTAGTGGAAGAATAAAATTTTCACTAGTTAAGATGTCTGGAGTATACCGTAGGACTTGGTATCCATGGCGGATCGGTTCCAAGCCCCTTCCGCGGATGCTGAAAATAGCGGATAATAGAAAACTTTATAATACTATGGTCTCTGGCTCCCTCTGGTGGTCGGTTCTGGTAACTACATACCACGTTGAAAGAGGCAGTAATTTGGCCATTTCTAAAAAAGCCTAATCTGGACCCAAGGCTGGTGGTTAACTACCGACCAATGGCAAACCTCCCTCGGAGTGGGTTGTGGCCAAGCAACTCCAGGCGGTGCTGGATGGAATGGATTTTCTGGATCCATTTCAATTGGGTTTCAGGCCGAGTTTTGGTACAGAGACTGCCTCGGTCGCTCTGTACGATGGATGACCTTTGCCGGGAGAGAGACAGGGGGAGTGTGACCCTGTTGATACTCCTGGACCTCTCAGCGGCTTTCGACACCACCGACCATGGTGTCCTTCTGGATAGGCCGGCGGGGTTGGGAGTTGGGGTCACCGCTTTACAGTGGTTCCTGGCTGACTGTGTCCAGAGAGGGTGATGCTAGGTGGGAACCTCAGCATTCAGGATGGGAGGGGAACGCGATTGATGTGGAGACGGGCCACGTGAACGGCGTGGCGCCATCGTCAAGAGGGTTGGGTTGAGGCATAAAATTCCCAGGCAGCAGAGGGAGTCGGTCCCTTTTTCTGAGTCCGCCCCACCTCGCAAGAATGTTGTGAGAATAAAATAGGGCAAGGGGAGACGTCTTTGGAGGGGCACAGCTGGGGTGGAAAAAACGGGGAAAGAAGAAGGAACAAAGAGATATGGAGAACGGCAGAAAAATGGCCCAAAGCTCTCACCTCTCCTTCGGCGTTTGCGACTGACCAGGATGACAAGGATCAAGAAGAGGATGAATAGCAGCAGGGTGGCCAGGACGTAGCCCAGCTGGTGGAAGAAGTGAGCCCGGCTCTCAGGAATGATGACGTTGATGACGTTGTGGCTGCTGCGTCCTCCGTTCGGATCTAGGTTGCAAAGGGGTCAGAAAAAAGGGGGGCAGTCGAGGGGTGAAGTCAGAAAGCTGATCCCAAATGACTTGGGCCATGCAGCATTTTTTTAATTTTGCCCGCCTCCCTGGCCATTGGTTGGGGGGGCACTGCCCGATTTTGAGGGTGCAAAAGGGGGGGGGAGAGAGAGATGCCTGCTTCCTCCAGAAACTGTTGCAAAGTTCTGAATTTTGGGTTAGACTCCTATAGACTCACAGAGCAGAACAGCCTCAAGTTCCGGAAAGAAGACCACTCCTTTTTTTTCTCATCAACTGGCACTTACAGTCTCAATAACTCATAGAATCACAGAACCGTGAAGCAGCACAGAAAGATGTGCTGGAGTAAGAATAAAAAACCCACTTTCTTTTACTTACAATTGAAGAGATCAAACAGCACTCAGAGCAACCCCTAGCTGACTGACTTTCAGCAACAGGCCCCTGCTGAGTCACTGCTTTCAACAGACGGAGCCCACGACCAACAAACAAACAAGAGGAGGGAAAAGGGAAACCAGAGAGGCGGGGCTCTCTTTGAATGAAAGGAATGAATGATTGGTTAAGGCTGGCTAGATTGGCAGTCACCCCAGCTCAGAAAGGTTCCCTCCCAGCCAAACCGACTAAAGGCAGTCTGCGAGGTTGCAATAGCTCCAACAGAAACAAGGATGCACAGGGACCATAACCCTGTTGGACAGCGTTTTTGTGAAACTATCCGCTACTTCACCCGTCCACTTTCAACTCTCTTATCTACTTCTGTCTCCCTCCCAACCAAACCGACTAAAGACAGCATGCGAGGTTGCAATATCTCCAAAAGAAACAAGGATGCCCAGGGACCATAACCCTGTTGGACAGCATTTTTGTGAAACTATCCGCTACTTCACCCATCCACTTTCAACTCTCTTATCTACTTCTGTGCCCGCCCTGGGCTACTGGTCTTTGTAGTCCAGCCACCTATCGGCACCTGTGCTTTGCCCACCGCCGAGCCAGCTACCCCTGTCGGGCTCCCGCCTGCTTCCCTTCTTTCTGAGCCCTACGAGGCAGCCCGTAAACCTAGCGAACAAGCGGCGACATCCGTTTATGACTAGGACAGGACCATCAAAAGTTTGTAGCCCTCCTTAATCAATCCGTTCCTTTCCTGCTCCGCTCCGGCGGAGGAAGGAGCAAGAGACCATCTGGCCCCGTGCTTAAGCAGGACCAGATGGCTTTGGGCAAGATCCAAACCTCCTCCTGAAAGCTGGAGGGTTAACTAGAAGGAGAACAGAATGAGGCCATGTTGATACTGTAAGCAGAATAAAATCTCCTGTCTAGGAAACTGTTCCAGGTTTGGAGAGCGGCCCAGAATTAAGAGGATTCTAGAAGAAGCTTCTTAAGTTTTCTTTCTTTTTATCTTGGTAGGGTTTTATTTTAAAAGGCCCTGTTCCTGTGGGAGTTTACATGAATTTCCCGGGGTCGAGGAGACCCCTCGTGGGTGGGTAAACAAGGACACCGTTCCTGGTAGAGGGGCCGCCGAGACAGAGTTTGCCCCCCACCGCCGCCCGAGAAATGAAAAAGTTCAAGTAGAACAAATATTTTTCTTGTGGATTTCAGGTAGTTATGTGAGATTCTCGCACCAAAGACGACGCCCTGGTTTTGAAAAAAACAAGGGGAGAAATAAACTCCATCTTTTGCATGGCTTCAAAATAAGATTTCTTTGGTTCCAGCCGAGATTAATTCCCTGGAAAGCTGTGTTTCTCATGCAATTTCTCGCTTTTTCAGATTTGTGTCTCGAAACGGGGGAATGATGGTTTGTTCAAACAAACCGTATACCCTCTAAGAGAGGTGGGTCTGCCAGTCTCATGATCCCCGGCTAGAATAACTGTCAGTTGCCAGGAATGATGGGGCTTGTAGTTGAGTCCCTAAAAGTGTGCTGATGGTGTATGGTTTCCCCATCAGCAACTTTTACACACACACACACACACACACACACACACACAGAACATTCTCAGTGGTTTCAGGAGGAGGACAACGCCAGCCCATTTCAATATGCACGGCACACCTTCCAGGTCCGTGCACAGTGCTTTCAGGATGACAAATGCCAGCCCGTTTCAATATGCACGGCACACCTTCCAGGTCTGATATTTAAACAGCCAATAAATATTAAAATGCACAATAAATTTTTTAGACCATTTGTAAGCTCGGAGCCAGCCCTCGCTAGTCTCACGCTTTCGATGAAGGAAGAAAAATGCAGGTTTAATTTTTCAACAGGATGAGCAGGAAGTGTGCTTTCAATGAAGGGACAGAAGAGAGAGAGAGAGAAAATTAAATAAAAATAAAAAAGCAGATTGAAAAACAGCTGCAGACACCAGAGATAGCAAACGGGCAAGTGAGACTGACATTTGAAAGAATGTGCCGCTTTGGTTTCTGAATCAACTTGAGACCTCTTCCGTTGTCCCTTATCCTGCTTGTATGTTGCTTGCAACCAAGACCGTCTCTGCCATGTAGTGGAGAGAGGGTTGGATTAAGACCCCAAGTCCTGGGTTCAAATCCCCACTCAGCCGACAGGAAGTGCCAATGCTAAGCCCCTCCTTGAACGACTTGAAAATCTTATTAAGTCTCAATCAACTTGATGGAACACAACCATCTCATCGCTACTTAAGTTTTGTATCATGCTAAAGGTGTAAATGTGGGCTTCTTAGAGTTAGCGTGTTGGCCTCTTTAGCGCTAGAATAGCCAGTCCTCATCATGTCATTGTCTGAGCTGCCATTTTCTGTATTTAATTCCCCTCTGATCTAGAGATTGGAGGGCACCTCCTTCCAGTATGGTTTGGATTGAGATTTTTTCCCCCCGTTTTTGCAACTCATCCTGAGAATAGGAAAAAGTCAACAATGGCTTTGTGGCTTTTTAATGGATTGTGGGGGAACGGGACAAGTTGGCCCATCTAGATTCCAGATTTTCAAGACTTAATTCAGAACAGCTTGGGTTTGAATCCCCGTACCTTCTGCCCTCTTCATACAAAATTAAGGTCGCCATGTTCCTCCCCCTGAAAGGCTCCTCCGCTTTATTGCATCATTTAAAAAATTTGCGTCCGTTTTATCTACCTGCTACTGGCGGATTGGGGCGCGTGAGGTTCACCACCACCTTCTTCTCCGGCTCTGGCTCCACCACCGAGACCCGGAAGATCCGGCGCTCGTGAAGGCCGCAGTAGTGGTGGTGGAGGTGGCAAGAGTAGATTCCTTCGTCCGCCACCTCCAAGCCGGAGATCAGCAACGAGAAGTCCCCCAGGGCGAAAGCGTTGTCTGTGATGTTCATCCTCTGCCGGATGAAGAGAGGCCCATAGGAGCGCCCCTCCCCAGAGGCGTAGAAGTCAATGAGGCGGTCGGCCCGGTCGTGAGGGACCCCCGGGGGCTGACGGTCCCAGTGGACCACTTGCTGGTCCTCCTCATCGTGCCGTTCGGTCCAGACCTGGTTCCGGTTGATGCAGGGGAGGACCACGGTGCTTCCTTTGAGGGCCACGATCACCACTTTTTCCCCATCCCAATACCTCTCGACTTCTGCAGCTGAAGAAACCAGACAGACAAGGGGAACCAAGTGAGCTCTCCCTCGAACCAAGAGCGACGGTTTCACACAACCTGTGTCTCTGGGACAGGGAGGTTCAAGACCACCTCAGCCTGCAGTGCTTCCCTTCAGCGGACAAAACACTGAAGATATAGAGATGGAGCGGCCCTTTCCCAACATGCCTTATTTTCCAATGTACTGCTTGAACAGCAGTAGGAAATATGTAGAAACAAGCACGGGTTTAGGACCAAAGTCTATATTCCGAGAAATGTGTTTCTGGAAGGAGTATTCCCCATAGGTAGCAAAAAAGATACAATTGTAAAAAACCACTGCGCATGTACTGGAAATATCTGCATCAAAGCAGATCACATCGCTGGGGAGAACATTATGCAACTGCGGGAAAACCGAACTTCTGTGAACATGCATTTTGGCCAGCAGAAGAGCACAGGTTAGCTATTGTAAAATCCTGAACCATGTCAGCATTCCTTAACTGGTATGTTTTGGGCAAGGAGAGTCATGCAAACAGCTATAACTGGAGGTACGTTCAAAAGCAGCTCGGCACAGAAGCGGTTACAGTCAAATTGCTAATGAAGGAAACATCTCTGGAGCACCATGTACTCCTACACAAGGACAAAATAAAAAAAATTCAGGAGAGAGGTAATTTCTGCCTAGCAAAGAAATCATCTCACAATTTTACTGGCCTAGTGAGTCACTATGAATCACAAGCAAAGTCAGTGTGATGTTATAGCTAGTGAGGGTCAGACTTGCATCAGGAAGAGAGAAATCCGTAAAGCTGACTGGAGAGCCAATCAACACCACTTCCCAGGATCACAGTATACATTATAGAGTGGGCATCATTTAAAAGGGGAATTCCTTAAGTGCTGACAGATGCGTGACTGTTTTAGTGTGAATTATTCATGCCTCCCAAAGCTTGCCAATCATCTTCCTTTGCTTGGAAACAAGCTTGCTTTATCCTCTGCTCGGTCTTCCAGATGTAAATGGTGGGCATGACAGGGAAGTCTGACCTGCTTTGGACCTGACGCTCGGCTGGAATCACGTCTTGCCAACACTAAGTTGCTTTTCATTCCCCAGCAACTGATGCACACGGGGCTATTACTGTTGGCCATGGGAATGGGGGTTTGGGAGTTGTAATCTCCCCCCTCAAAAGGAATTTTTCTGAGCTGAGGTCTATTCTTACGAAAAGAGGGAGGACTTTCTTAGGAAAGGCTGGAGCGGTTTCTCTCTAAAGCTTTCCTGCTGCTCCGTGACAGGAAATGCTCCGTTGCCCACAAACATCTAAATTACAATACTCCAACCATTCGTTTTAGCCATGCTGCACAACAGAAGGGTTTGTTCTTTTTAACTCCCCCAGGGCTGCCTCGGAGGAGACCGCCGGAGTGGACGAAAGGGGAACTTATAAGGGAGAGAAAATAAACAGATCCAAATGTTGTCAAATGCCAGGCCCAGAGAAGATAAGCGTGCACTCCCCCCCCCGGCCCCATCCCACTACCAATCCTTTCGCAATACCAAAACAAAATGTCACAAAGCCCCATCACCGTCAGCTGTGACGTCCAGCCGGATCTGCACCGTTTCGTAGAGATGGCAGTAATGATGGTGGAGGCTGCAGGAGTAAGTGCCTTGGTCGCTCTCAATGAGATCTGGGTTGAAATAAAAAAGAAAGAGAGGGGGAGAAACCAGAAGTTGGAAAGTGGACTGTGGAGGTCATCTAGGGTTGGCCAACAACAGCATTTCCAGACGGCCTTCAAAAGTAGGGTCTCTAGATGTTCTACAACTCGCAGAAAGAAGGTCTAGCCAACGCAACTGATGGTCAAGACCTTGGGCTTCCCAACCTTGAGGTCCCCAGATGTTCCTGGACTAAAACTCCCAGAAGCCTTCACCACCAGCTGTGATGGCCACAATTTCTGGGAGTTGTAGTCCAAGAACATCTGGATTACCCAAGGTTGGGAAGCCCTGGTCTAGAATTTTGGCAGGCGAAACAGCTGGATGGTCCACCCCTCTGCTCCATCCAAAGAAATTTCTGGATGGGACGAGTGGTTACATTTTTGGACAACAACTCCCAGATTCCCCAGGTTGGGGATGCTGGGATTTGTAGTCCCCCCCAAAAAAGCAACAATTTCCAGGCTCTAGGGAGCAGCAAAGAGATTTAGTTCCCTGTGCAAATGCGCCAGGGCCAGACCATCACCCATGTAAGCCCGTGGCATCGTCCGCTACCTTTGATCACCAGCGAGAAATTGCCATCCAGGAAGGCGTTTTCAGGCATAGCGATGCGCCCTTGATTGTAGTCGCTGTAGACACGGTGGTCGCCGGCCGAGTACATGTCACAGAGCCTCTCGGCTCCTCGGTGGCTGCGGTACAGGTCCCAGTGGACCACCCGCTGGCGGTCGTTCAGGCGGTCCTGGGTCCACACCATGCGGTAACTCTTGCACGAGAGGATGGTCCGCGCACCTGCCTTGGCGGTGATGTTGAGCACCGATACCACCACGCTTTCAGGGTTGGAAGCATCCGCCGGGACTGCATCGAGGGGAGAAGGAGTGAGAGGCAGGAAAGCCAGAGTGGACCACACACTCCCAGTTTAAATACCAAGCACATTTCACTGTCTTGTAGGATTTGAACTCAGGACCTATTGGATATATTTGCTTATAACTAGTTATTTCTACCTAGTTACTTCCAAGTTTTTTATAACGTTATTCTAAGTTCTCTATATTTCTATGTGCAGCTCATTCTTTTATCACTGGTTACTTCAAAGTTCTTTATACCCAGCTATTTCTGACTTCTTGACAAGTTATTCCACGTTTTCTATATTTATATCTATAACTAGTTCTTTTGTAACTAGTTGCTTCAAAATTTTTATAACTAATTATCCCCATGTTCTTTATAACACTCCCTACACCCAGTAAAATATTTTAGGCCTCCCCATATCATTGGTAATTGTCCTAAAAGGAAACAGGAGACTGGTAGAGTCTTTGTAAAATTAAACTTTGAACATCCCATGATGGATATCCTATATTTTGCATACTAGAAATGAGTTACACATTTATTATTATTATTAATTACCTGAATAAGGATGAACAGCAGACCCTGAAAGGGAGGAGGAAGAAAATAAAAATTAGCAATATGTATTAATTTTAATTGCAATAGAACTAACCAACAACAATTTTACAATTGTAGTTAGACATAGGGACAAATGAATATTCGTGAAATATTGCTGATTCACGGGATATTTGTCCTGCCACATTCGTCAAGTCTGGAGACCCCGACGAATATGAAGGGGTGAATATTTACTCATTTTTATTCATCCCTCTGTGCATACCCTGACCCACAGGTTGACGAATATGAAGGGGTGAATATTTACCCATTTTTATTTATCCCTCTGTGCATACCCTGACCCACAGGTGATCCTCGGGACATTGACAAGCAGGCTGGCTACCGGAACTGAAACCCAGGTTTCTCTTCCTGCAGTCAGCCTGCTTGTCAATGTCCTGCTGATGAGCCGATTGGCGGGACAGTGTGTTTTAACTAGGAATGGGTGAATATTCACCTATCTGTTGCTAAAATTTGGTGCTTTGTCACTTTGTCCATTCATCAACTTTGACGAATCCCGATGAAGCACCTTAAAAAAAAAAAGGGTTCCCATCTCTAATTGCAATCCATTATGTGCCGTCAAGTCAATTCCAACTGATGGAAAACTTTTGAGGGTTTTCAAGGTAGAGAAGACTCAGAAGCGGTTTCGCATCCCCTTCTTCTCAAACTGTGCAGCTTGCCCAAAGCTACACAGGCTGTGTCTTTTCTTGAGCAATACAATCTAACTCCCAACCTCTGGCTCTGTAGCCAGAGACCTCAACCACTGAGCTATCCAGACAGCTGTAACACATTATGGCAGTTTTTATAAACATTCGCTGATAAATACAGGCATGCCTTTTTCGGGAATTAGAGCCCTCTTCTTGAGCCTCCATTTCCTTCACCGTTCTTCTCACTCCCGGGGTGGACATTTTGAACGAGAAAAATCAAACTGTAAGCCCAGAGCCCTCTGGTGCATCCTCTATCATTTGTGGACCCGCACGTCAAAATCCCAGCAGGGGTGAGTACGTTCCTTTCCAAATTACCCCTCCGTGGCGGGCCAAATTGCAGCCTTCTCTCAGCCGGGAGGGTGCCAGCCGAGAAATGGCGAGGCGCATGGAGGGAACGCAGGCAGGGATCACCCCACGGCAGAGAGGTATTCCCGCTGGCCCTGCTTTGCAGAGTTATGTCCGACATAATACTAATAATCTTAGAAGTGCAGAGCTGGAAGGGATCCCGGGGGTCATCCAGCCCACCCCTTGTCAAGGAGCCCCAGCGGGGATTCAAACTCCCAACCTCTGAGCTCTGCAGCCAGAGACCTCGACCACTGAGCTACCGAGAAGTTCTGGAATAAGTTTCCCTCCTTGCCTATTTATCTGTTGCAGGGGTTCGATGGTTCTCCAACTTGGGTGTCCAGATGTTCTTGGACTGCAACTCCCAGAAATCCTGGCCAGCTCAGGAAGTAGTGAAGGATTCTGGGAATTGCAGTCCAACAACACCTGAGTGCCCAAGGTTGGGAACCACTGAACTAAATTGCCTCTAAGATCCCTCTCAACTCCAGGATTCTGTCCGATCACCGGTTTTCAGGTGGGGCTCACCTGGAACCTCTGTGTCTTTGAATTTTGAGGAACTGTGTTTGGAAAGAAGTTACTTTCCGAGGCGACATCTTTCGGAATCTCTCAGCCAGCGTGTGGCCATAAATGACCCCTTCGGTTTTGGAAACTCCAGCCCAAGAAGCTGCAAAATTAGCTTTTTAGGAGACTTATATAAAAAGCCCGCCTGGTTCCACTTGATCAGACCCAAGCGCTCCTGCATAGGTTTCCCATTCTGGGGTCTTAGCACCGTGCGATGGCATCGGGTTTACAGAATAGAGGAAACACTGGTTCCACCCTACATTGGGAAAACATCTCTGGCCCCTTTTTGCTCTTTTAAAACATTTAATGTAAAGAACACGGCTTGGCTCGGGGTTCCATAAAGCCCATAGCTGACAAATCCATTAAAAAAATGTTGGCCAAACTTCCAAAAAAGCAGGAAACTCACCAGATGTGCTGTTCTTTCAGAGCTGTATGTTTTCCCCCCAAGCTATGAATAGTATTTAAATTCTGTTTTGGGATTGTTTTTCCCCTTTATGGTGCCAAGATTACCTGCTCCGACGATAAAGACCACCCAAACTTCAGCTCACTATTCCAGTGGAATTAAAAAAGCATACAAGATAGCCAAGTGGTTCAGATCTCTGGCTGTCGAACCGGAGGTTGGGAATTCGAATCCCCACAGGGCTTCCTTGACAGGGGCTGGACTGGATGATCTCTATAGGGTCCCTTATAGCCCTGCAGTTCTAAGATTATTATAAGATGATGTTATGGGGGTTCCCCGAGGGTCACAGCCCAGCCCACGTCCTTCAGCATCCGCCCTCTTGTTCAGCAAACGAAGAATCGGAATAGGAACCTACATTCCACCTGTCCAGGCAGGCTCTTGAGCACTGACATTGACAGGTGCTGGCCCCGCCCATTTGGCTCTGCACCCGCCCCTATTAGTACCGCTGAACCTCCAGCATCAGAGGCAGTCTATCTCCAAAGCGCAGCTCTTGCGTTTTCAGATTGCAGGCCCTTCCCACAGCCGTGCCCACTGCCCACAAATTCATAGCATGTGGAATTATGTCCGGTTCTTTTTAATTTGCCACACACACCCCCGACATGTACCTCTGGATCATGATGGAGTTAAATCGACTTAAGAGTTTGCCTCGCTGTCCCTGACCTTCAAGACCCCTAAAAAGAGTCAATTGGGGGGAACGGAAGGAGAATCAGACCCTAAGCAATGATTTTCACACTTCTCTGTAGTTTTCCGTTCGGGCTGTTCCCAGATATAGTATATTTGCTTTGGATGCCGTTCCGTAAACCTTATTTTAAAAAAACAGCAACACTTTGCCGTTGAAAGGAGGGTGGAAGAATAAACAACAAGAGTCATTTAGTATTTAAAAAAAACTTCTTGTTGATTTAGGATAAATGCTCATCTCTGCTCCACCGACCAGCTCACTATCCCCGGGGTGGGAAGTGTGACGTGAAAGAGGAACGTCACAACATAAATTCAGGAAGGTTCCTGGCTTACAAGATCATTGCTCAGAAAAGTTGTTTTTAATTGGTTTATTTGTATTCCGTCTACATCCCACCTTTCTCCCCTTTCAGGGTGACCCCTGACTACAACTCCAAGCATCCCCAGCTGCCCCGGGGGGGGGGATTCTGGGCCATGGACTCTGGAAAATCAACCAGGGTTCAAGCGTTGTGCAGGAAGAATTTGGCTTGTTTGGGGTGTGTATGTGTGTTGTGGTTTTTTTACAAAAACACCAGAGCCACCGACCGGCGTGTCATGCAAAAACACATACATGTTGAAACACAAGAATTTGGAAGGGCAACAATTTGTTCTGAGAGCCACAACTAAAGGGAGTTCCCCAGTCCTTCTGCATAAATAAGCCATTCCGGGTTAATCCCTCCCTTAGCTAAATATATATAAGAATGCAGCCAAAAAAAATATACATGTTTTTCGCAAATCACTTTTGTGGAAAGAGATTTTGTGTGCAACTTTTGGGGTGATGCAGAGTTCTTCATTCACACGAAGAGGAACCTGGTGTTATTCAAAAGCTGGCATCCTTATGCACAGTCAAGTCTCCCAGTCCAAAGCACACCGTCTCTTTCTTGAGTAAAGTATTTTCTCAGCTACTTTGGGCTGAGTATTTCTGCCATATTCCACTGGATTTTTACATCCACTGGATGTTTACATCCATCTGTTACATCCTGATCTTGATTAATTCTGATTAATTATATGCACAGCAGCCCTGTTCTTAAAATGATTTTATTCTATACTCTTCCCTCTTTCTTTCTTTCTTTCTTTCTTTCTTTCTTTCTTTCTTTCTTTCTTTCTTTTTCTTTTCTTTTCTTTTCTTTTCTTTTCTTTTCTATGCTTTTAACTTGGGATCCATCTGTCAGTTTTGCTTCCCCCACACTTTAAAAGATATGCGTTGATCCTGCATCGGTGGAAAAGCTGGAAAATTTCTAAACATTTTGATCCCAAGCAAACATTTTTCCCCCTAGAGGCAGCTGTCCCAGTCCGTATGCACAGCTCTTTGATGGAAAAGCTGGAAAATTTCTAAACGTTTTGATCCAAAAGGAAACAAACATTTTCCCCCTAGAGGCAGCTGTCCCAGTCCGTATGCACAGCTCTTCCCAGCTGAGAAAGTCACAGCTGTCTTCCAGATAACAATGAAAAGGCAAGGAGCCAGTCAGGAAAAAATAATTGGCAACCCAAAATCACCACCAGAAACATGGCTGCAGAGACCCAAAGCAGATGTTTAACAGCTGCCCCGGGCCTGCCGGCTTTGTTCTGCGTTTTCTCTGCCTCGTTCTTTTACATCTCGTGTCCCTCAGATGTAAAGAAAACCTGCCCGTTCTAGAAAGTTCTCCTTCACGAACGAACCGTACGAAGCCCTCGCCCCTTTTCCAGCTGTCAGCAAAACCTCATGTTTCCCAAAGAATACCGCCCTTGGCGCTAATCCTTCTCCAGTTTGGAATGGTTTTGGACTACAACTTCCATCGTTCCCTGCTCATACAATCTGGGCAGCAACTTTCTGGGGATGCTGGGATTTGTATTATCCCCCCCAAAAAAACAAGGCCCAGTTTTCAAGCTCTGTGTTATATTACTCCCTTCAATTGTATGGGATATAACAATAGAGGGTTGCATTTTACAGGCGGGAAACTGAGGCTAGACCAAGCTGTGTGGGACTGTAAGCTGCAGGTGGTCCTTCAGGACCTATGTTTTAAGACGGCCTTGCCTAGAAGTTCCCTCACCAGAAGAAAAGATTTAAGAAAAAACGCAAAAGTGAGCTTCCTAATTACTCCACATTGCCTATTCGGGCAGTAACAGGAGCAAGGTTGCCAACTTTTTTGCTGCCCTTGCTCCTGCGCTTTAACTGCCACCTGATACACAACCTGTCTCTACCATGAAGCTTGTCCTTTCTGCCCTGCTATGAAAGACTCTGCCCGCTTTGGTCTTTCATCACTATCACAGAGTCCAGCTCCTCTCAAGGAGGCACCCTGAGGAATCGAATTCGCAGCCGCTGGCTCTGCAGCTAGAGACCTAAACCATCCTTTCATGTTAAAAGCACAAGAGCCGAGCCAAGGAAAAGGTGGGCCCCCGTAAGCAGAAACCAAGCTACATCCTGCTGCATGGTTATTTTTCACCCTGGCTGCCGTCGACCGTGTTCTTCTGCGCTTGAGAGATTTGCAACAAGGAGAAATTCAACCACCGACGTTTCCCATGCATACAGAAACAGCTCTACCTGTGGGACTGGTGGCCTGCCATGCATCACCACAAAACAAGGACTCTGTATAAAACCCACCCATGAGAATATATTTCCCCACGTTTGACTCTTCCTAGCAAATATATGCCTGAGCAAAACCGGGTTGGGGGGTGGGGGATAAATAAAATCCAGCAGGGCAAAAGCTTACATAACTCTGGTTCCAACGCAGCGTCCCATCAAAGTCTCAGACGAAGAAAACACACACGCACACAAAGCTAGCATCAAAAATGTAGATCAGCTTTGGTTATTCTTCTCACCTCCTGCCCCAAAAGTCCCCCTTCAAACTGACCTTTGCAGAGAGAGAGAGAGAGAGAGAGAGAGAGAGAGAGAGAAAGAAAGAAAGAAAGAAAGAAAGAAAGAAAGAAAGAAAGAAAGAAAGAAAGAAAGAAAGAAAATAAATCTTCCCTCTTGAAACCTTACCTTGCAGGAGGAACCACAAAACCCAAAGGCTCTGGCTTAATCGCTTCATGTCTCCAGTCATTCCTCTGGCTTCTTCTTTGCTTCCTTTCGCCCCCTCCAAAGTCACTTTGTCTTCCGTCCGTTTTTCCCTCTCCTCTCCTTCTTTCCTTGCCTGAAAACCCCGACGATCCCTCTTTGACAGACCCGCAAACACAGACCCACCAGCAACCCAGCCGCAAATATTTAACTCCTCACTTGGTGCCTTTCCCCTTTTCTCTCTGTCTGTCCATCTCTCTCCCCCTTCCTCCCTCCCACCGGGTGCTTCTCAACTCCTACATAACATGAAAGCGAGCTCAACTTTTCGAGCCCAAGGGACTCCTCGGATCTAACCCCGGCCGTTCCCTTCTCCTCCGACTTAAAAAAAAGAATCCAGCAAGTTTTTGCTGTCTGCAAACAACTTTTGAGTTGGTCGCTCCACCCACCTCCCTTCTGGGTACGCTTTGAATTTTCTGGGGCATTTACAAAAATCCAGCTGTGTTTCTTCTCAGCCCTGACTCTCTGCCAGATGTCGGCCTAGATTCCTTCTCTCTCTCCCTCCCTATGTGTGTTTTTTGCTCCCCCATTCGCCATCCCAGCCCTCGGCCTCCTCTTTTCCTCCTCTCACTTCATTCTGCCGGAATCTCTTTTTAAGATTCGGGAAGAGAGCCCCTTCGATCGGGGATCGGACCGGATCCGGACACCTGGAGAGCTTGGGTGGATTCGCAGAGAATCACACACGGATTCTGGTACCCAGGTTACTGAACAGCTCGGGACCTTACTAGGAGTTGACCGGAAGTCAAGCAAAAAGAAGGACTGGGTCTCCTTGTTTCCATCATTTTTTCTATTTATTTAGCTCAGGGGTTGAGGTCTCCGGCTATGGAGCCAAAGGTTGGCGGTTCGATTCCCCCGCGGTGCCTCCTGGGAGACCAGAGGAGAAGATCCAGCCTAGGTAGCCTTGGATCAGCTGCACAGTCTCAGAGTAACCTCAGAAGAAGGAAAAGCACTATGATAAGAATTTGGTTTCGATCCTTCAGCCCTGAGAAGGAAGTGATGTTTTGCTTGTATTTAGCAAAAATCCAAGCAACGTTTCTCCCTGAAAATGAGGGTCTTTCGTTTAAACTTGCTCAGACCCCATGCAAGGATGTTACACTTTAACAGGATGGGACTTTCCCCCTCCCCCCTTCTCATACCTCACAAAAAAGGTTAAGGTTCTTTGACTGGGCCTTAAGAACCCTAAGAAGAGACCGTGAGGGGAGTTTAACTTTTATTTTTCCCTTCCCTGCATCTGGTTCTCTATTCCGAGGAATTAAGATGCCAGAACATTGCTGGCGCACAACGGAGGCGTTATCTTCAGTAACTCGGCCAATGTTTTTGTTTTCTGGTCCATGGAGAATTCTTCCTTTCTTTTCTTTTTTTTTTTAAACCGTGGAAAATAAAACCAAGTTTGCAAACTCAGTGCAAACGGTTTCGTCTGGAGGGCCGGATCCTGCAGGGCCACGTACTTCTCGAGGAACCCCTGCCTTTCCAAGCTCGTTGTACAGGAGAGGATGAGGCCAAGCGTGCCCAAATGAGGCAGCTGGCTCCGGAAACGCGGCTCCTGGTTTCCAGAAGGCTGGGTAATTCTCCCCAGAGGAGAATAACTGGCGGAAAGGCGGAAGTAACACCCGTCTGAGCTCGTGAATCTATAAGCGCTTTGTTGTGAGCTGGGAACGCTCACTTCGCTTCATGGCTGTGGTACGCTTCAGCCTTTCTCAGCGTGGGTTGCCATTTTGGAATTCAAGTCGGCAGCAACACAGGGATCATCTTAGAAGATGGGGTCCAAAGCACCTTGAAGACCCATAAATGTCTTTCCGAGATCATCGGGAAGAACGCAGGATTCATCTTCAACTTATTATTGGATTATGACTACAAATTCCATAATTCTCCATTCTGGGAAGCTTTACCTGCCTTAACACCGACCTGACAGCCACTGAAATGTGGCTCACCTGGGAGAAAGGCCTCAACTTTGAGCGTTATCCAGGCCTAGATCCATTGAAGCTTCCTGTTCCTGCCACAATGCTAGCTGGGAGTTTTCTTTCTGAACAGGAAGCTTCAGCAGAACTAGGCCTAGCTAAGCCTTCCGGTTGAGGCCTTTCCTCCCAGATGAGCCACATTTAGGTGTCTCTAAAGCAGGTAGAATTCCCAGAATGGGGACTTATGGGATTTGTAGTTCTAGGGAAAAAATCCAATTTCTAGAGATGCTGGGATTTACAATCCAACAGTGCCGGTCGATCGTTCCTGAACGATAACTACAGGATGCAACTTCATCCCATGAAGGAAACACATGGACGGTTGGACTGTTTGTATGTCAACCTTGTAGAAAGCCTCACAACACATAAAATTGAAGCCAGCTGACAGGGCTGACACAACACATAGCACAGAACCCAAAAATCTTGAACAGAAAAGACAGCAACGAATAGCGTAGCCACAATTACAGCTTGGAAAGATGTGACCGGCTATTATTCCCATGACTTCAGCCGTAGTGGCGTTTCTGAGGGGACACACGTTACAGAAGACTTTTCTGGGGCTCTAATTAACATCTCCTACAGCTGGTGATTAACGCCCCATCCCCCAAATGAACGGCTCAGGGGCTCGGTCCGCACGGAGGTCTCCCCATGCAGACTTCTCTCCTAGCCAAGCTGGCACCAGAAATATACACACGAGTAGCCCTAATGAAATCCCATTGTGTTTCATGGGATTTACACTCGCTACGTAACTCCAGCTTGAAGCCACTTTGGCAGTTTCACAGCCGTAGATACGCTAAGTTTTACCAATGGTTTGCCAAACAAAGATCTCTGTACATGCTCAGAGGCCCTCTCTCCAATAGCCAACCTTAACTATTTGGTTAACCTTGATGACCATCTTCCAGATTCCAGTTCTGCCAAGCACTGGCTCTGGTTTTTATGACTAAGAACTACCTCCTGGCTGCTGGACAGGAAATCATCCTTCTACTGCTTTTCCTGGTATCCCCCCTAAATACTTGCCAGGGCTGGTATTTATTGTCTGATAAGAACCTGAGTCATAAGAAGACTCTCAAGGGGAAGGATCAAGAGAAAATTATTTAATAGCAGAAATAATAAAAATAAAGAGAAAGAGAGAGAAAGATTTTCCTAAGACTGAAGCACTACAGATGGAAGACTCGATGTTAAAATGTTCCATGAGGTAAAAACCAAAACAAATAATAATCTCTGTACATTTAGTCGAGCGTTGCAGCCAAAAAAAGCTAAGCTAACACTGTTGTGTCTCCCCCTCCTGATTTTCCATGCGGAAGAAGCCAAGGGACGCATGGGTTCTGTAGTCCCAACAACTCCTTTGAGGGGGGTCGTGTTCAAATTAAAAAAAACAAACTTCAAATTGTCAGGTGAGGCGTTCACAATCTCTCCCTGCCAGAACAGGGAATGTTGCTGTTTTTAAAGGAACTTGTTTGCTTCTGGACTACGAAGCCCAGAATCCCTCAAGAGGCATGATGGGTTACAGAGTCCCAAAAGTTATAGCCCCATACGTTTCCTGAGCTCTAAGGTGGTTTTTGAAAACTCAGACCGCCATTTATTTGTGAGCCTGATTTGGGGTTCTCATTCTAATCCGTGGATGAAAAAGGAAATATTATAGATGGCTTTTTCTTCTGGCTGCGAGTCAAGACTTTTTCTTTATTAACTTCTGCGTTATTATAATTCCAGGATTTGGCAGACCTTTTACAAAATCCGTCTGGAAATGCTTCAAAATTGACATTGGAAAGGGCTGGAAAAAAATTCCACCTCCTACCAAAAATAACTTCGCCACCCATTGTTGTCTTCCTTTGGGACGTGTCTTGCTGGTTGGGGGATTCTGGGCATTGTAGTCCATCTCTCCCTCCCTCAGGAAGGAAGGAACAGGGCCCTCAAAATGCAGCCGAACTCATTCTGGCCCCAGTTCCAGGCCAAATTCCTGGCATTCGTAACAAAACCATTAATAGGAACCAGTTAGAAAAACAGAAGATATGCCCAGCAAAAACCTTTTTTCAAAACCTTCCAAAATAAAATTTTTTAAAAAGAGTTCTTCAGACAGTAGTTTAGGAAAGTATTCCTCTTGGCCTCATCCCCCCCCCTTTTTTGCAAAATTAAAAATATTTCAAGAAAAATGCTCCTCTGGCGACTCTTCGTCTTATCCCGAAACGTTTCCAAAATCAGCCGCGGGAAAGGCGAGGTCAACCGGAGATCGTATTTGGCTTTGCTAGATTTCTCTCGCCTCCACCTAGGCTGGCTCTTCTCCCTGGAGACACCGTGGGGATTCGAACTCCCAACCTCTGGTCCCTCAGCCAGATCTCCAACTCATTGAGCTATCAGGTGAAGGAAAGGCAGCCTTTGCCCACCTCCCCATCAACGTGGTGCCGGGCCTGAATGCAGTTGGACCAACAAGAGGAGGTGGCTTTCAGCCTTCATGAGGTGCACCCATAGCTCATTGGCAGTGTCCCTGCTTCAAAGGTGGGTCCCAGGTTCAAATCTCAACAACTCCCAGCAGATTCCTGCCTGAAGCCCCAGAGAAGGACTGCAAATCATCCTAAGGAAGACCAAGCTAGGAAAAAGGGCCAAGGGCCTGATCTGGGAGGTGGGGGGAGCAGCCAACCCCCCTCCCAATCCTGTCTGTTCTGGGGAAGAGTCATCCCCTCCTCCTCCAGTCTGGATGGATCATAGACGGTGAAACCGGGAGGAAATAACAAACCGATCAGATCAGCATCATCCAGCGTCCTTGGTCTTGAAAATCAGTTTGACGGCCAGCGAGTTACATTCCAGGCTTTGTTACTCATCTCTCTTGGTCAGAGATGGAGATGGGGTTGCAGAAGAGAAAACGCAAATGAGACAATGAGATTTGTGGGTTGTTGTTCTTTTAAAAAATGCCTCTACCTTTCCACTAATTAGCACCTAAGGAACTTAATTCAGGGGCTCTCGAAATCTCTCCTTCCCTTCGCTCCTCTCTCTCTTTCTGAGCTTGGACGAGTTTCCATTGTGGAATACGCTTTCTGGGTCGCTGGGGATTCTGGGTGGATGGGGCCCCCAGGAGGCGTATGCCCAACTTCTGATGTGTACATAGAAAGAGATGCAGTCCAGAAAAATAACATGCCCGCACTCTCTTTCTGTGTATGTATGTCGCCTGGTGTGTTTTTATAGGTAGGGATTTCTGTTTCCTTGAGATTTTGTGAGTAAGCCAAGTTACAACTTAAGAGTTCCTGGTCTGGACAAGGCCTGTGATGGGTCTTCATGGGACCTAAAAAGGTGGATGATGGGAAGAAGATGATAATGTAATGAGGCATGAAGATCTTGGCTTGGGCTTCTCCAGATTTCGCTCCGGCACTCACCTCAACTCTCTAAATGTCACAGGAAACCTTGCAGAATTTCTTAGAAATTTGGTGGTCATTTTTAAGAAGCAGAGGCCAGCTAGCATGAAGTTACTATATCGCCTCTTTCCTATGGAGGATTTACCTGGAAAGTGGAGAAGAAACAGTTCCGCTGGGCACGACTGCTGTGCTTCCTGCGCAGGGATTGCAACACATCCTGTGCAGGATTGCTATTCTTCCTGCGCAGGGATTGCTATGCTTCCCGTGCAGGATTCCGGTAGAAAGGTGTTTCGCTGTGCAGAATTTGACACTTACCCAGAAAAATGGGGATGGCAATGAGACCGGGTTATTCCCAGAGGCTAGGAACACTTTGGAGGGGAATCTCACAAAGAAAAATCACCTCGAACGAGAAAGCAAGAAAATGCATCAAGAAAAAGAAATGTTGCAAATACTCACCACACCCGTAGGCCACAGATTCTCCTACGTGGAGTATTCTAGAGAGCATCAGGCTGGGGAAAGCGGTTCACAAACCATGTGGCTCTTACAATTTCTAACCCCCAAGCCCTCACAATTCAAATGGCACCAACTCCTCTCCATTCCACCCACAAACCACACAAGGGAACCCCAGCCCTTTGAAGGGGGAACATTTCTTCCATCCCATAATTGCCCCAAACCTTCCAAACCTGCTTTTAATCACAGCTGAGCAGAGAACCAACGATATAGGAGGGTGCAAGACACACCCACAAGAGCGAGAGCTTTCATATTATTGCTTTTCTTCGTCCCTAAACTTGGGTGTGGGTTTCTTTTATAACACTTGCCAGGCATCCATTTTTCTTTCTTTCTTTTTTTAAAGGAGACCTGACAAAATATAATTTTGGACTCAGAAAAAAAGGTTATTTATGCTTCTGTCCATCGAATTCTTTCTAGTGCCAAATTAAGTCACACAGGGAGGGAACGTGACCATTTTCTCGGGTCCTTATGCTGTGACTAAGGATGGAATTTTCTGATTATTTTGGACCACAAACCCCCATCATTCTCCATTTTGGGAGTTCTTGCTGATTTATTACAGACACCTAAATGTGGCTCACCTGGGAAACCAGGCCTCAGCTGGAAGGCTTTGAGGCCTAGCTAGGCCTACTGTAGCTTCCTGTTGAGAAAGAACGCTTCCCAGCAAGCTCCAGGGAAGGGACAGCAGAACTAGGAAATCTCTCCCCTCTCCCTGACTCCAAATCCCAGAATCCCGAAAGAACGCTCCCCAGCTAGCTCCAGGGAAGGGACGGCAGAACTAGGAAATCTCTCTCCTCTCCCTGACTCCAAATCCCAGAATCCCCTCTCCAGCATGGGTGCTGTAGGACCCCAAACTCTGCGAGATTTTTTCCCCCTGCAACAGCTCACAGGCAGAAAAGGCAACGGCCTTGACTCAAGAGATGCTGAAGGCCGTCGCCTGGTGATCACATCTCTCACCGTGAACGGACATGCTTCGGGATCCTGCTCCAAACCCCATCCCTAAACAGGCAGAACCGTGTGGATGATGTCCTTTTTGACTCGTCCTTTTGTTGGTTCGAGATCCCCGGCTAACTAGGAGAAATTGAGCCAAGGTTTCTGGACGCCTTCTTCATTCCCTGCGATCAACTCTTGCCGAGCTCTCACGAGAGGGGAGAGGGGGTGTCTCCCAGCCTCTGACGGATGGAAAAGATTACCCATGGATTAGACAAGTGCACAGAGGAGAGATCAACAAAGAGCTTTTTGTGGCGGCTGGACTCACTCTGCCCCAGCGCAAGGAGGAAAAGGAGCTTCTCATCTTCAGGCCCTCTTTGTGGGCTTCCCAGTCAGCCCAGTGCACCAGCAATGTGGTGTAGAGGGGCGAAACCCAACGTTACTGGGAAATGCATCCTCTATAATGACCCCCCCTCCTTCCTGTCTACTATAGATTATTCCATTTCCTTTTCACAGTGGGATTTCCTCCGAGATAGATGATTCAGCAGATTAAATTTGCCTGCTCAGCCCATGCTGACCTTCCAGGGACCAACGGCCAAACAAAGCACGCTAAATGTAAGATCCAGAGGAGAGGACCATCGCGCACCACGACAAAGGGAGAGAGGACACTTCTGCCAAAAGAAAATGATGACGCCAGAAAGATCTCGCCTAATTTGCACCTAAACATTACTGCATTCGACTGTAAACGGTTCCGTTTAGACTGATTCGCCACGCTCCCATCTGCGGGTTTACGTTCTAAAAGACACAGCATAAAAGGATGAGGCACAAGGGAGGGAGGAGGAAACACAACGTTCTTCAGTGTAACTAGAAAGAATGGAAAAAGGTGCAAGAAAAGCAGAGTTGATCTCCTCCCTCTGCTTCCTCCTGATTGGCGTGATTCCTATGAGGTCACACTCCGTGGAAGGAGTGGCTGGAAAGAAGCAGTTGTCATTCAAACTGCAGCTCTCTCTCTGCATCTGTCCTTGGCAGAAGATGCAGAATACAGGTCTCAGAATCCTCTCCCTGGTGTTATCTGTTAGTTAATCAGGAGGGATTCCAGGTGGAAATTCCCCGCTCTTGGTCTTTATTACTTAGCATGCTCTGTTATAAGCCGCCTTGGGTCCATTTCGAAAAATATGTGAAATAAATAAATAGATTGCTGTTTACACCGTGGAAAGATCTTCACCAAGGAGGAGAAACCCAAACATTGTCATCTTTAAGAAGCTGGCGGTTAGTCAGGTGGTAGAGTGAGTGTTTAAAACTTTGAGAAACTTTCCAACCCCCCCCCCCC